AGGTGGGTACTAATCATCCGTCCTGGCACCTGTAAGGCCTTAGCTTAAACTTCTAGATGAAGTAAGAAGAGAAAAGAAAACTACTGTAAAGTGAGTAAGATGTGGACAAAGGAGGAAAGGCATCAGTTCAGGTATTCTGCCTTGGCAGTAGCCTTTAAGATAGGCTATTAATGGTTTCCACAGATTGGGTTGCGTTGAAGTGCATAAGTAGGCTCCCCACTGACGGCGGCAAGCTTTAGCGCACGCATTGACTTCTTCGAATGCACACGAGCCTGTTTTATTCAAAAGAAAATTGTGTAATGTCTGTCATCGTCAAAATTCTGGAAGCGAATATGCATGCGCACGCGGGAAAACTCTGGTAATCTCATGCAACACAAGCAGGAAGATGTCCTGCAAAACGTTTAGCAACTACAAATCAGCTTCAGAGGTTATCTGCGCTTCAGGTAGTCACAAACAGCAAAATATAGTCAGCAATATTGTACGTAGCCCTCCTAAAAACCGATATCCCTTTAATGCAGATATTATTTGTAGGGCTAAGGTAAGCGGGCACAGTCGACTTAGCTGAGGGACGCCAAAAATCCCACTTTGGCCATTATCCTCTTTATGTACACCAAAGATCAGTGACATTTTAAGGGATTAACATAAAATATATGAAAAAAAATTGGCTGAAGATATTGATAACAGACAGGAGTGAAAAAATATATGTAGTTGAAAATAAATCCGAACCGGAACATATAAAATAGCGACATACACGAAAGCAGTATACGCAAATATTTAGCAGCGTAATTACGAAAACGGTGCCTTCGCGAGCTGAAAATCATTGACTTCGCGATCTGCGATATAAGTGGCATTTGTGACTTAAGAGCCAACATAGGACCCTTATTCCTGTCTTTGTAGGGAACTCTTAACCGTTTCTCCTGACCTTAAAATCCTAGCCCTTGCCTAACTGTAAAGCCCTAGCCTTAATCGTACTCCCTCAATCCTAACCTTAAAACAATAGTCCCCATCCTAAACTTATAATGCTAATACAGAGTCAGGTCTTGGTGGTAACTCTGACCTAGAAAACTCTAACCACTCAACACAAACTTCAAGCTCTAACGCTTTGTCATAATCCTACAATCCCCTACCCAAAATAAATAATCTTAACTCTAACTAAACCGGTTAATGTGATCTATGCATTGTCCCTTCTTTGAACAAAACATTCAAACATTCACATTTTTGCAACAACGACAGAAAAATGAGACTGCATTAAGTGCCATCCAAAATGTTTTTTAAATGTACAAATGGTGCAACCGGTTAGCGCATTTGCCAGTTGGATGGTTTTTTTATTTCCGTTAAAGTCGCCATAAGATCAAATCCATATGACAGACAAGAAATACTCAAACTTTGCAACGTGGAAGAAGTAAATAATATGAAGCTTTGGTCTCTCGAATCATATCTTTATCAATATATGCCTTATAGCTTTCAATAGAGCCCCTCGGTGATCGAGCAGACATCTTCTTCACTTCTTATGCATACACCCAATATTCGAACGTTCGACTAAATGTTTCACATGTTTAACATCGGATCTGCATTCTTGCGTGGATTTCTAGCGTGCATTCAATGTGCATATTCTGCTTAGTTTGTCTATGAATTTAATTTCTTACTTGCTGGTCTACGCAGCACGGTCAGCGATCATTCGAATGCTTCAAAAATGGACTTTTTCAGGAAATACCGGTAGAGCAATCATCAAAGTAAGCTATCACTCATTACACTTCACTGCGAAATTCCCACATTTTAAATGGACTTTCCTGCTGGTTTCTTTAGCAAAAAACTATTCTTTTCCTATCAGCCTCGTTAGCCTTATTTTTCTCAAGGCAAATGGTTGCCGGCGTCGTCAAGTAGATAGGGGCATTTATCATTTTAACAAGAAAAATTGTTACGGAGACAAATCCGAAGCAGCCAAAAGAAGAATGAATGCAAAGATTTCCGATGTTACCGAAAGAGCATTGACCTCAAACTAACCTAATTTCAGATAGGTTGGCGAGAGCGAAACTTCGCCTGTTTGAATTGAAATTTCTTTCTTGTGGAGCCAGTGTAACAACTCAAGGTTCTGGGCTAAAATCGAGTGCATTTTAGCCGTAAACACAGTTCTCTGCTAATCTAATATTAGGATGGGTATGCGTCTTGCAGCCGGCAACCACAAGTACTCTTCACTTCATCACTGGCAGTCGGGTCTCTCCGCTCCGGTAAGCGTGAACTTAATTAAATTTTCAAACCACTCGAAGTCGTTAGGGGGTTGATCAGCTAGTATTCATTCAGGCATACGGTAACACCAGCAGCCCGCTCTGACATGAGGATAAAACCTAGCCGGTAATCACTGAAGGCGCAACAGTACATCCCATTTGTGTCGTAAAAATGCTCTGTTGTGTGCATTTTCGTATTTTGTCCCCTTCTACAGGGAATTTTTTCACTTTCACTCTTTCTTTTTATAATTGCTCTAACTTCTGATTTTCTATCCTCTTTTCTTAAATGTGCATGAATACTTTCAAAGCTAAGTTTAATTGTTGTTGAATATTTTAAAATATACTTATCATAGTTTGGACAGTATATATTCATTTGTACGGTCGTCGAGTACTCTATCGCTATAACTTGCGTCGTAGACAGATTATGCCACCAAGATTAGTTTCAAGATGGCTGTCGTCAAGTTAATTGATGAATCAAGAAGGCGGTTGTCAAGACCTACTTTGCTGCTCATAGCTACTTTACCAATTTTGTCCATATCGCACTGTGATCGCCCTGTTAATCTTGCTGCTAAACGCTGACTTGTGTAACAATAAATTCCGACTTCACACCGACGAAGTCTATGATGAATATCACGGGGATACGTTTCTAACATGCATAAGGCCTCCGCTTAAAGGCACTTAATAATAACATTTCCTCGCTGATAAAAGATAAAATTGTCCACTTTACTGAATTCTTTGGTCTTCTCCCGGAAAGTCAAATTAGTTATCTTGGGATCCTGAATCCCAGCGGGTACAAGCACCTTTCAGCTCCTGATAATCTGGATAGTCTTTAGTAGAACGCACTTAATTTGACCGCCTGAGAATAAGGGAGAGAAAATCTGATGAAATGTGAATCAATATGTCTCCTTAACGTTCTATATTAATTTACTGCATTGTATATTTATTCTCTATTAGTTTAGGCTTAACCTAAATGCATTAATTAAATAGGGACCAAAAAACTTACAACTGAAAGTCAACTCGACGTCAACGCATACCCAAGCAGACCAAATCCTCGGATCATGCTGTAAATTGGAATAGGTTATTTCTCTATCAAAGTGTTTCCTTTTTTAATAGATAATGGTATGCTGATATTGCTGACGGAAGTTACATAGGTGAATGGGCGAATTTGAGTGCCAGGGAGTCTTGCGCCTTTTCTTATATACTAACAAAAGGCCGCATTTTTGTTTTATATACTGTCGACACACCATGTTCAGGATATAAACTGTTATGTAGGCTAAAGTAAATCATTATTTGGAAGATTTCACCTTCTTTTCAAGACAATCCGGTTAGTAAAAATTTAATCTGCTCGACCGGAACTTACTTAAGGTATTGAGGGCAAGCTTAGGCGACTGTTGACCTGATGTTAACATATACATAGAGAAATCCAACTTCGCACAAATATATGAGGTCGTCCCCATCATTAGAGTAGTCGCGTGCTAAAGCTCGGACTTTGTTAACCACCACCAACATTTTGGTCGGCCCAATTCCATACGCTCCTCCGGCGAGTTCCTGAAAATTCATTCCTTCTAGTTAAGATTTCCTTTGAGTCACTTAACATTAATGCGCCTTTCTAGGGCAACGTGTCTTTTATATTACTATGCCTGATAGTACAAAATCAAATATGTTTACGAAATTTTCCGTCTCATTCAGTGATGCCCCTTGGTAAGATTTTGGTGCAAGTATAATTCAGAAAATTAAATAATACCTTTTCCGAAATATTCGGTTAATAAAGGAATACCACAATAAGATGACGAGTACCAAAAGTGCAAAACATTTTGGGTAGGTTGACAGGCAACTTTGGCCGGCAAGATGGGCACTCTTAGAAATTACAGAGTATTGGACAGAAACCATTCTGACAAGCAATCAAGCTTCCTTAGAATCACTCTTGTCACTGATATTGATGTATTTTTTCATAAAAATCTTGTAAATCACAAGAAGCATAAGCTTGCTAATTTTGACACATCGTACAAAACTGCTGCTGGCTAATATTTTAACCACGAAATTACTTCGATCATTTGGCCTCCTCTCACTCCTCTGAAGTGCTATGCATGAGACGCCATCAGAGGAAGATAAACTGGCATATTTATAGTACCAGAAACTCTCTTGCGCCTGAAATCAGGTCATGGTGCGCAACTTAAATCAAAACCACTGAATATGTGCAGGTACTATTTTCGGCAGCCTTATGGTGGCTGAAAGTGGTCATACCGTTCAGACATTTTCATTCGCATGCAACAACCTGTGTGCTAAATTCTAGACAAGCTTATTGAATTTTCCGAAAATATGTGTGTTTGCTTCAATGATAAAATACGTTCTTAGTTAGCGTATGTACTCGAGATCTTCTAATATTAGATTGGAAATTATCGTTTCTTCTCGAAAATGAATATTTGTTCGGAACGCATTAACGGTAAACTAGATCCAGTTTGTCAGTTTCTTAAATAAGATCCAAAAAAGCAGTTTATCGTCTGTGGCTCATTGAAATCTATGCGCTCATTTTCCGCCTTTCTGGCTAAACAAATCCTATTTTCGTAATTTGCCAAAAGCATCTTTAGCTCCTTATAGCCAAGGTTCCTTATGAACCCGAGGACCCTCTACCCAGTTGTTTGAAGACCGCAGCCAACTACAATCTTATAATAAGAAACTCTTGTTTCCAATATTTATAGAAAAAAACCAACCGCGAGATACAAAATGAAGGCAAACTGTCCATGGAGATGCATCAGCACACGAAAAATCAGCAGGGTCTGTCAAACCACAACGCATGGACACTACGACCGCGGCCACCAAAGGCATCATCACTACCACATGAGACGGTTAGTCTGAGTAAGCGTAGTCTGCAGCACCAGCATACTCGTGTGCCGACGACACCATCAGCAGCAGAACAGTCGGCCCGCCCATCGAGGGCAAAGGGTCCCGAAGCTGACTCTGGTGCCTACACAAACCCATTAGTGGCGGCCATCAGCCAGGGTTTGGAGAGGGAGGAACCATGTGTCCAGGCGCGAATTGGTCGAAAGCTGCGTCAAGTCATGCACGGAACGGACTACATAGCGCAGCGGGTCAAAGACGTGAAAATGGAGGATGATGTGAGTGTTTATTGAACAGGGTAAAGGACTGATGTGCTTTTCTACAGCCAGGCAGTTCCTCGTATAGTTGACTGCGTTAAGTTTTATCATCTTCTCAAGATCTCCATCTGTTGGTAATATGATTTAAATCATCTTGCTTTATAATTTGGCAAATGCACATTTGTCAACTGCAACGTACATCCTGTACAATTTCCTGAACTAGTTAAATTATGTTTACAAGTATGAGGATATAAAATTAGAATAGAAAATGGATAGTCTACAGAAGCCACTGGAGTTGAGCACTGGCTTCCATTTCTGCGCACTGAAATAGTAAACCTTATATATCGTAACGACATAATGTGATTTTTCAGAGAACCCTGCTAGTAAGTGAACACATTCTAGGGACTGAGTCGAAAATACGTAAATGAGGACAAAGTCCAGTCCGGCGGGTCATTGGCCTTCTAATTTGAGCAAAAGTGAATAATATTATTGCAAGTTATTTTGCTGCAGATGCGTAGGTCACCCTATCGGATCACTCATACTAACAAGAAAATTCCTGTTAATTTTTAACGCGATAGGATATCCCCGTTGAAATCATGGATGTTGGCCTCGTTGTTTAAACTCGTCCACAAGGCGGGACCAATGACTGCGCTTTAAACGGCTGACCCAGCTTATCACTAACACCGGAAAGAACTAACAGAAGTGGTATGAATGAGTGTGTATGAATGGTTTAACAAATGAGCGGCACGAAAAAATTACCTTCTCGGTTTTTGTTGTCAGAACTTGCAATGCTATTAATTTGGACTCAAAACAAAAGACGCCCATAGGACTGGCTTGTGACCCCATCTATACTGGCTTGACTCTTAGGATGTGTTAAATAATTTACACTCGACTTCTTCCATAGACGCAGTTCACTTCTCAAAGGTATATAGATTACAAGCCTCCGAAAAGAATCGGCTCGTTGCTCGGTCATGCTGCAGATTTCTTATCGTTGAATAAAAATGTATAATCTCTTTTGAATCACTTTATTTTGAACCCAGGTCAAGGAAGATTGGCAGTTTGTTGCTGTCGTGGTCGACCGCCTGTGTCTTTGGGTGTTCTCCCTCGTCTGTACCATCGGTAAGTCCTGTAAACTCAATTTTTTGCAAATAAATTACACCGAAGGAGGAACTAACCATTTATGGCGTCGATAAATACTTTTTGACTACGCATGTCATTGCAACTGATTGAAAAGGCCTAAAATTATGCTTATCCAGGATTCATGTATGATGTTTAACAACCTTGACACTTTGGCTGTTCGTACCATCATTACAAGTACTCTTTAACGAAATACTTTATTTGTGTGTCTATTTTAGCTGTGCTTTCGATTATTTTCAAAGCCCCGAGTATGACCAGCTCTCAACCGCCTCTCGATCCCGCTCATCTACCTAATTCTACAAATCTTACGTCTTTTGTCGACGCTGAAATGCGCATACCCAGACAGACTGTAAAAATTATATTCATTAACTAAACATGTTTGCCATGTATACCAACACTCTTTTGTTTAAAAGTTTAAAAACTACTACTCGTGTGAGCATTGTCTTCGAGTGTTTTTCTTCTGGATTGCTGCAATAAAATCTCCTCATATGCATTTTTCTGGGCTTTTCATCTGCTATCCGTATCATAACTGCTGCTGAGATAGTACTGAACTTTGTAAAATCTATTTATATAATCTACAAAAAGGTAGGCTTGTGACATTTGAGGAGGACTGAAAGTATTCAAGACTGAACCATCGATTGCAAAAAGACATAAAAAAAACAAAATTAGAAATGCAGGTTATACCTTCATCCTGAAATATCTTCCGTACAAGGTCAGCTGGACCATTTCTTATCTAGCAACTTAGCTTTATCGTCTAATTAACCGGTAGAATTGGAGCACGTCTAATTTATACACCGAGTGACTGAGGGCATAAATAGCACCAAGGCTGTGCTTTCACTACCTTATTCATAGAAAGCGTCGTATGCATGAAAGACTACTGATGACTACTGCTCAGTCCTCAGGGAACGGCCGGAGCAATAACATAATAATTAATTATACCGCCGACTTATGGCTCTGACCTGCTGGAAAGCTCAACTTCTGGCCGTTCGTAACAGATCGAGAAATATTTTGAGAATGGCTTGAGAAGAGTGCGTTAAGCACGCGGACGGACTGTCCCTTGACAACTAGCTCTTTCGCGGCTCATAAATTTGGACAGTTATCCGTTACCATAGTTACGCCCCCTCATACTCTCTTTAACATTCGTGTGAAATTGTTTTTTCTGGTTGTTCACGTCACCGGCCGTTCGGACTTTCACTGCAAGGTTTTTGAGGGCAGTACGATACCTTTTATGAAACCTAACATAACACGTTTTACCATGTCCGAACTTTATAATGAGGACTGCATTTTTTAACCGATAGTTTTCTGCATGAACTTGAACTGCGGAAGCTTCGACTGGAGCTTATTACTAAAGTCAGGGTCATTTGAGGACAATTGCTCTCGATTCTGGTGACTTTATACTGTCAGAGCATAGGGATGATCAGCTTATGCGGACTAATTCCGACTCTGTGTTCACAGGAGGAGTGTCGAATTTTGTCCGAAGTCATGTTTATGTACTGGGAGTTTATTTTTTAGCCCGCATTGCACCTGGGTCATTCAAGTTTGCACTGATAAGAACTACTGATAGGGAACAATGCATGTGTCTAAACGGCAAGCTCAAACGAATGCAATTGCCTGGTGCTCTCCAGTGCTCCGCTTACTCAGTCGGCCGAAAATGCGCAATTCACCATGGCCGAGAATGCAGTCAACGCGTTGAAACTACAAGGCTTATTTTCAGTCTACAGTCAAAACACTGTAAACCAAAATTTAGTGCATAGCATGGTTATATTCTATGAAACAGCAGACTTATTTAACGATAATTTGAAACAAAACAAAATTTGAAAAATCAAGAAGCAAACCTGATAGCATTATTGGCTTACCGCGCACGGTAAGTTGCCGACACGGCTAAGAAAGAGTGCGCACTTCCTTATTGCTTTTTACATGTATAGTATATAAAACGTTAAGTGAAATTAAAAACTGTGTTCACAATTCGAAAAGCTTATTTAAGTGCTTTTGTAATATTGCCTACCATACAACATGACGTCGGGGTGCTGGCTTTTGAACGCACTTCATTTTGTTTGCATGCAGAAGCTACAATGTTGTAAAAGATTATAAAATTTAATATTTTTAAGGCCGTTAGACGTCCATCTATAAAGCGTTATGTTTGTCCACTTTTAATACTGCTTATAAACAATACAACGTATTCCACATCTACTGCGGCATTTAAGAAGGCCCCATACGAGATCATCTTAATGACGTATAAAAATGTATGTTTTTCGTTACACGGAAAATCTGCAGTTTGCGGCTTCGAAACCCTGAATGCAGGTGTAGCAGCAATTGAGGGTTCAAAAGTACCACCTCTAAATAAAAAGAATACGAACTTCAAGTTGACATATTGGAGATAGGTTTAATTTGCTATTAAATAAGTACACAAAAGCGTATAGGCATGTAATTCTTCTGTTAAACACATGAACTCAGAAGGACATCAGAAATCAAGAAGTAAATGCCTGCTGCTCAAAAAAGCTACTTCTTACCGTATAAACTTTACAGGCTGCCGGAAATAAGCTCGTTCAAAATATGCCATCGTTACCTGACTGCGCTATCTTAAGATGAGGCTGCGCATTAATTATTCTTCCAACTTTTACGTTAAGGTAAGCTTTTCTAATCGAAAACGCGTTTCAGGCTTTTGTTTATCATCTCATGAGAAAGCACATCTATTGTGCCTCTTCACCAGCAGTTATTACAATATCTTTAGTTCGGTTAAAGTATTGATAATTGAAGTTATGTAAAGGTTTGAAGTTAATATGATAAAAAGATTCTTAAGTTAGATAAAATGTATTGTATGTTTTTATACCCTCAAAATACCCCAACGATGCCGATCAATTTGAAGAACAGTCTAAACCTCAACGAAAACACAACAGGACAAAAGTGTTATCATAGAATGTTGGCCATCCGAAGCCAAAGTAAGACGAACTCAGAATTTTCATGCACTCATATATTTCGCAGTCAGTGATCGTATAGATTCGGCAATAAGAAAAACTAGTGCACCGCTAGCTTCGCGTGTTGCATGCATCATGAATTTGAAAATATGTTTAATCTAGCCATTTATTTCAATATTGACCATGGACATTCGAGTTCTTAAAGGCAATCCTTGAAAAAAAGCAAGGATGGCCAGTTTCATTTTAAATATAGAAATACCATTAGTAGTTAACCTCACATTCTGGCTACCCGTTGGCTTATAAAACAAGTATTTGGTTTATTCTTAAACTTTATTATGCACGATTAAGGGAGACATTTGCGTCAACCAGCTGGATTATCACAAGGTACTCATGAAATTGGCGTCTATATTACGAAAGATTGTCAGGCAGCTGAATGTAAGCGGAAAATAAGGTGTGATGGGATAAACCATATGTTAACATCACACAGACTGGAACTCTTCAGTACTCCGCACACAAACTAATACATCTTTAACTTTGCCTGTAAATCATTTCAGCCTAAAGTTTTAATAAAGGGGTTTTCCATAAGACCGTTTTAATTATTATACAGTCAAGTACTATGAGCTTGATTCACAGTCACCAAGTAGTATCTTCTAAGGTCACATTAAAATCAAGTAGTGAACTATACCACGTATTGCGCAAACCCCATTTCAGGGAAGTATGGGGATAAACATATTTTATCATAAGCTTATAGTTATTAAGAGTAGCAGCGGTTCTATAGTAAGTCGCACGCAGTGTGAAAGAATGTTTTAAAACATTTCAAAACAGAGTTTCAAAGTTCTTACCATTCAGAAGTAGCCCGGAGCTTCTTAATCAGATGACCAGTACATTAACGCGGAACGCAACACTAAATCATTTTACGGAAAAAAAACAGTTTGCATAGGCGATAAAGACACTTTATAACTGATAATCGTTTCTACTGCGAAATCTCAATCACAGCTATCTATCATCTGAATTGCGTTTGGCTTGGATTATGACCCATAATTACTTAGCGGCCGCAGCATCGAGGTGAAACAGTCGCTTGAGATTCAACGGATTAATTAGTGCACATTAGGCTACTAATGTGGTCACTCAATTAAAAAATGACCAAATTATGAGATAATGATTTATCCTCCCTAATTTCAGTCATTCATTCATTAACAACTGATCAAAGTATGCATTGAAATCCCTTAAATGTTGTCCGCGAAGGAGACTGGCGTAATTTGTATTACTGGCACTTAACTACGTCCAGTTTTGCGTTGGTAAAAGAGCTTGCGCCCACAGCAGTGACTCTAGTCCGGAAGGAACTCTTTGGTTGACCCAACAGTTGCTATCCCGTAAATGTTAAAACAGCTTTGCGATTGCGAAATTGTTTCTACTCAAGCATAATTAAGGACGCACACAGAACACTCTTAATTGCGTTTTCGGGACTTCTGTAGGCTCACTTGCGGGGCCTTCCGGTTTACGCCCTTTGATGGACAGAATGAACTGCTTGCGAATGATTAATTGGAGAGAGTAAAACTCGAATTTCCTTTGACTCCAGTTAACTTTGTTCGCATGATTAGATAAAAGGTTCGGAACTTGAAAGAGAATGTTTCCGCCCTACCGGAATGCGCTTTCGTCCCAGCCTAGAAATCTCGCTTACCTCGCCGCATGCGGAGACGACTGTCGAGAACAAACAGGATGAACCACCAAAAAGCGAGTATACAGCCATTAGAAGAGCAAAAGTAATGGTTGTGTTTTCAAAGGTCTTTCTTATGATTAGTAGTGAAACAGAACAGTACTTGGTATGACAGTCAGTAATAAAGACATAAAATCGGAGTTGCGATCTTAAGCGAAAGTTCGCTTGTCTTCAGATATTCTATGGTAATTTACCTTTAGTACACCGGAGTGTGTGGGTTTGCGGTATATTCAGATAAAGCATTGTGTGACTTTAAAGACCCAGTCTTAAATGGCATACTTGTTGCGCTCGATAAAACGGAACACAAAAATCCATGGCCTGCCATGTTTGGGCTTCAAGCATTCTGCATGCGACCTATAATACCGCCTTATACAGCTGCTGTAGGCGTTACACAGACACACATGTCGCGTCAATTACTGTACCAAACGTATATTTATGTTTGCTAGAACTACTTATTTGGTCACGAGAGTGTGAAAAATACGGAATTTTGGCTACCATTGGAAATTCAGCGCAATTCTAACTGTATTGAACAAAAAAATAGCGTTAGCCGACGGAGCTTTTAATGTTGCAATCTAGCTGACATACTCAATTTCAGACAGGACTGAGCCTCGGACTGCGCCGGCCTATTCGCAGTGGATAATTTAACGTATCTCACACATCTTTGAACGCCGAAACTCTCTTAGGCCTATATAACATGTGGACACAGAATGGTTGTTTTTTCAGCTGCGGCGCACACATCCA